ACACGCTTCCGAAATGTTGAAGAAGTGCGAGAATGGGTGGACGAATGGATTGCTTCGAAACAAACATCGTTTTATCGAGATGGTATCGCCCAGTTGCCAGAAAGATGGCAAAAAGTTGTAGAAAGTGATGGAAAATACTTTCATTGAAATAATTTAAATAAATATTTTACAATAAATGCTTTTTCTCAGTATTTTTTGGGCGGAAACTAAGTTAAGGTCCTAATATATCATCGAATTATTATTATTATGATATAAACAACAGTAAAGTGACAATTTTCCGCTCGTAGGATTGAGATACATTTTTTCAGAGACCGTTTCCAAACGTTAAATTTAATTAATATCCCCAAGGCGTATTTTCAGTCATATTTGTGACCAGATGCCTCTCACATAACAAGCTCGCGGCAGTGAACTTTTCGCTGGAATGTATGTATGTTGCGCAAAAACAATAATATGCATAAATGCGTTGATATTACGAGGAATAAAAGTATTTAGTGGGGAAAACGAACTGAAACGAACTGAAACGATGTATCAAAGCGCATTATACACCGCTTTAACCGCTTAACAGCTTTAACATTTTCGATTGTGACTAGTGGGAAAAATGTTAAAGCTATTATACCGGGCGGTATATATTACAAACATATTGTGAAATATTTTATACTTGATATTATGTTTCGATAAAGGACGATACAGTGGAAATAAAAAGTCTGGAAAATCCACGAGAAAGCAGAATCAATGTGTAACCGCATGTAAACTCAAATAGAAAGTATATTATAGGTATGCTTATCGCGATATATAATTATCTCAATCAATTTATCAATAAGTGGTTAATATTATTGGTTGGTTAATATCGAGCGATGGATTTATCAGATCATGTCAATGTTTACAATCGAGTATATAATTGCAAGATATTAATTAGTATTCTGTTGATCAGGTGCTCTGTAATTGATACGATCAGAAGTGCACTAGATTACATGTAAATTAACATGTAACGATCCAGATTAGATATATAGATGTTAGATGATTAGATATAGAGATGTTGATGCGTTATTAATTACCAGTCCGTTCAAAGTTTTTGTATAATATGTATAAAGCATTAGATGTAGTGGACACCAGTATGGTACATTTTTCAGAATCTCGAAGTTACAACTTCTCGGGCAACTAATTGTTGTGATTGACTATATAAATATAACAGACTATCATATATTTGCAGGGAACTTCATTTTAACTAATAACACGTCATTTGAGTTTCGTTTCTCACGATAGAGGATATTAATATCATTTCGAGACGCTACTTGGAAGTTCTTAACTCAGCTTTTTCCATTTTTAATTGTAATATTATTCCGGTTTTAACGAGACTCAAGAAAAAGTACTCATGTTCTCTAAAAGGAATATTTTACCGATCTCGTTTTTATTGTTTCTCTCACGATAAATATATAAGCGAAACATATGGCCAACATACTTCTTGGGCCAATTAAATACACATAAGATCAATAAATCACTAATTAATATCTTGCAATTATACACTCAATTGTAAACATTGACTTTCACGACGTATCTGATAAGTTCATCGCTCCATGTTAATTAATCATAATATTAACTATTTATTGATAAATTTATTGAGATATTAGACATTATTATTTCTTATTATTTAGTATTCCTAATTATATTATCAATTATATGTTTGCTACGCAAGTACATCGGCAATAGTATTCTCCATTTTGACCCTCAACTTCATAGTGTCTAAATTGTCTTGCAACTCACCGCATCTTGAGTTGCAAGATCTAGACGAGAGTAGAATCGTGAACAGGCTGGGTAACTTGTAGATTATTTGCGCCGGCGCAAGATCAAAGAGGACGGCGGTATTCTTGGCGCGAACAACGCGGTATTTCGCGAATGTAGGCGCGATTGTGTGTGCGGGAGTCGTGAGTAATGGCGTGACGCTTTATAATTCTCGGAAGTTCGGGCTTAATCAAGTACTTATTACAATTACCCACGGCATGCACAACCCAGAAACTTTCAGTCCACTCGGGCTGCAGCCTCTGATGTTGTAAAGCGGGTTTCGCGTCTAATCTCGTTTGAATGTACGGCACGCTGAGTTTCCATATTCATCTAACTTCGACTTTGACTTTAGCGTGAGTTATACAGCCCGTTCAATGTTTCGTTAGATAAGATTTATTCGTGGATTTGCGCGCTTTGTTAAGCGCCTCGATACACCTTGCCGTGCCTGAGACAACAATTCCCTCGATGATTTTTAGCTGCCATATGCGCGCTCGCGCGATGCTTATATGTACACACGTCAACATGTTGTGCAATTGCGCAAGAGAAGCTAGTCCGCCTTTTCTTGTGAGTTTGGGAACGTGTCCGTCTTATCTAATGGAAGTATCTGTTTTTCGATTAGAAGATTCTCCCGTTGAACAGTACAGATACGAACAGATACGTTCCTAAATTCAGAAAAACGCGGATAATCTTTCTGTACGCGACTAAGGAAAAAAAGACGATTGATCTAATTAAAATTATAGTTACTTGGGACCTCGATCTTACTATTTTGGCTAGTAATATATATATATATATAAAGTTATTATTACTAACATTATAGAATTAAAGAAAGAATGACTTTCTTGACTATAATTTATAGTAATTATTTTTCTATGTGACTACAGTTACAAATGCTGTACAAAAATGTACGTACTATACATATTTTTGAATTGAACACGCATTAATTTGTCTGTCGAACGTCCTATTTTTATGACTTATCGGATCCGTTGAAGGAGCGTGAAAAAAATGCGATATTTGCGTGCAGAATTATGACGTATTTCTCGAGATCGGCGTAAAAGTGTCGTATTTTGTCTCAGGTGGCTCCAGTCTCGCTAGTGTAGTAGCTGGGAGCAAGCCGACAAAACCCTGGGACAAGCCCCACTTCGACGATATTGCACCGCGAAATGTCACTGCCATCGTCGGCCAGACGGCGGAGCTGAATTGTCATGTCAAGCATTCAGGCGAGCGTAGGGTGAGTAATATTTTCCTGCTACATCTACCACGTAACCATTGTTTTTCCCGTGCACGTCGGATGGGAGATCCAAGGAAATTTCCGTCGGAAATGCATCGGTTCTCCTCGATTTCCCGGCGCTTTTCCGTTATTTCGCCGGTAACGAAGGGGTATTAGTCTCATTATGCCGTTACTCGTCTACCGAAAGTATCATGATATGACAAATAACGACATGATAAAGGATAAATAAAGATGAACGAGGGATAGATAAATGAGGGTAATTATAGATGAATGTATAGAATATATTTCGTATAGAATCGAGCGGAATCGCGCGATTATACTCCATAGTTTTGAGGCGAAGGGATTGAACTTTATATTTTGATCGATAAAGCAGGTAACTGTCGAACGTACACGGCGCAATACCTCATGCGGTATTACTTCGCACCTCGGCACGTCGAACCGTCGTGCCGTGTTTAAAGTTAATCTCGAGAACTAATCACGTTGATTAATGTTGCGAGATTGCTGGTTTGAAAAACGATAGAACATAATTTCCGCAGTTCCGTAGTTCCCGTGCAACGTTCAGTTGTCGTGTTACTCTGAAATACCTGAAACAGAGATCCCAGATTATGGTATGTGGCACGGCTCTATATACCAGCATAAATTGTAGAACTGCACGCTATGGAAAAATATCGATAAAAAAAATACGTTTAAGAGTCTTTCTAACGAAATACGGCTCTCCACGCCAAAACGGCGTTACAGATAGGAATAAGCGATATCATATCGTGATTTGTTTTTTTTCTTTTTTTTTAACAAATCACGTTATATATGATACTTTTTTCCTCTAAAATACAACTAAATACAAGCTTTTTCAATTTTTACAGAAATCTCTGACGCAAATAGTACATTGCACCTTATATATTGAAAATTTGATTAACTTGTGTAATGTTGTATGAAAATACTGTGGTGAAAATTATCAATGCTTTTTTCTCTTTTAAAACTGGGCTATATCGAAATTTTTAAATAACACCTCCTTCGTAAGCATACAATTTTTGTAGGCATTACTCTTGCGTATTGTTCAAAATAGTGGAGATATTCCAGATGGCAATAGTTAATAGCGTCTCACACTCTATATAACAATTTCGATCGTAATTCTGTATGGTTTGAGACTACGAGAGTTCTGTTTGCGATTTTTGCTACAATATTCATGTGTGTGTATTTACTGTAATCGAGCGCTAATCGACAAACGAATCGAGTGCCTCGTAGTTGAGAACGTGTTTACTCTCTCGCGAACAACATAATGAAAAGTACAAACACTTCGATTTATCATCCTTGTGACTTATATCTAGGCGACGACAAATATTTGTCTCGCCGTTATTAATACCGCAATTAATATCGCGTAATTGCAAAGTCACAGTGCAATTGCGTGCACGCGCGTGGGCGGAGCAGAGCGGAAACTTCGCGCACGTCGTGGAAATCCCTTTTAGAAGAACATTTATCGTTAGAATGCAAATGGAGTGCGGAACTCTCAAAGTCTCGACAAGTGAACAATAACCCTGTCTCGAGAGGTCCGCTTGTAACTGCAAACAGTCGGAGGGAGGAACTCGGGCGATTCAAGGCGCGGCAGAACGGCTCGGCGTTTTCACGGACTCTGCGTGCGGAATGGCAGCGCGATAAAAACGCGCGCGGACATTCCTGCCGCGCTGTATTTACAATGGCCGACAAGAAAAGCAGCGAGGAGCTCGCCGAGTCTGATTAAATGCAAATCCCGCCGTTATTACGGTGCCCGTAGGAAACACCACTGTCCTTTAACGTCGCTATCCAATTAACAGCCGTAAGATTATCTCATTTCAAATTAAACAATCGCATTCTCTCGCTCTCTCTCTCTCTCTCTCTCTCTCTCTCTCTCTCTCTTTCTCTCCCACTTCTCGGCAGAAAATAGCGTGAAACCACACATTTTAAACTCGAAACAAAAGTCCATGATTACGATCGACACCTTTTTTATATTTCGCCGACGATAAGATTCTAATACTGGAAGCACCTTCACGGCCGTCCGTAAAAGAATATTTATCGCGCCGTTAAACCTTATCGATCCTCGACACGAATTGTTTCGGGTATTATCTTCGACAAGCATTAACGGGTCGTTAAACTTTAACGAGCTAGTACCGAAGGCATGGCGCGGGAAGTCAAATGTTCAATCCTCGCTTCGCGGGAGATCCAACTTTAGGACACTTGTAATGGAATACCATCATTTAACTTAGTTGTTTGTTCGAGATTATGTTTATTGCGATGTTATTAATAGCCAATGCACACACCGCGCGTACCGCATACCATTCACATGCAAACGTGCTCCAAATGTGTGTACTACGTGTTCAGATTTTCTGCTGAAAATTGAAGAGAAAGAGAGAGAGAGAGAGAGAGAGAGGTAAAAAAATTTCGAAATTAAAAATTTTTATATCTAAGAATGCATTGCGCGCGTGTAATCCTTGTGAAAAAATTTACTGTAAACCAGAAATACTGCTAACATTTCCATTTTCCGTATGAAAACGTGAGGTATAAATATATACAGTGCATAATTAATAAATATATACAGTGTGATAATTCAATGAATAACAAATGACATGAAGAGTTTTTATCAATCAAGGAGGATTGATGAAAGATTGCACGCAATCGTTAATTAATTTTATTTCATCGTTAACTCAACAATTTGCGTGTTGTTTGCAAAATGATAAGGGACTTTTCTCTTCAGATTTATCAAATCTACAAATATACGACGGCAAGCTTCGTATTTGCCGGACACCTTGCATGTGCGATACAAGTTAAATAACAATATATTTTTACTTTGACATCACAGTTTTATTACCTCGTAGTTTTAAAACATGTACTGTGAAAATATATGACGTTCCAATTTTTAGTAAGGATCGTTAAAAGATAATGGCACAGAAATCTCAATTTTGTATACATGTGCTTTAAGTAGTTCAAATGATGTAAAAATGACGTATTAATGATATTGCACGACGTATTAATGATATATTATTGTATTAAATAATTGTATTCATTAATGCGTTATTAAAGCGTCATTTTACGTTATCATATTTATTAGATCTACACATCAAAGTGGAATAGCATTTGATCCAGACTCTGAATCAAAGTCAAATTGTTCGTGATCATTTTAAGATTGATCCGTAATTTTTCCACAATTTTCTCATTATTTTCACGATATGGGCGATATATGCTTAATTTTGCCACGTGATTTTTTAAATCTCTTTCTTTAAGATCTCGCACAAAGATTCATGCTCAGTCTGTGAGGCCGATGTTTAATTAGTGGGATATATCAAGAGTTTGCTTTTAAACCTTGATTTCTAATTAGAGTGCTCGCGCACAATAATGTTTGTGGCCTCGAAAAAGCATCGATTTCATATCCAAGAGACCGATATGTGAGTCATGAAAAATTAAACATTTCTTCTCTTGTCTGTTATTTTATCCGATGTCTACTTTCTTTTTCGACAAATACAATTCTTGAAATTGATCGAGCCGTGTCGATTAGATTAATCGAAACGGCAATCTCGAGCAGTTTGCGCAGCTTAGCAAAGAGCGCTTCTTTCCCCGTAACTGTCTGCAAATACAAACGAGCTGCTCACAGTCCGTTGTTGTTTGTTCCTGTGTATTCCTGGCGTCGGACCGTTTGCGCATTCGTTTACATTGTCTCAACCATGTTGCCTGTTCTGCGAAAGGGAACGCGTGTCCCTGGGTTCATTAACACTTCGCGCTTTGCGATAATGAAGTGTCTTGATGGAATAATTCTCTTATCGTGTAAATGGCGTCTGCGCGCACTCGTCCGGTCGCGACAATTTGTCGTTCTTCTTTCGCGCTCGCGCGACGTTCGGCTTTTATCGCAAGCTCGCAAGCTCGCAAGCCTGCAAGAACGTGCGGCACGCCGCGCGTTCCAAGCGGACGATCACACGATTAATAAAATCGCGCTCTCATTTCTCAGCTGATTTACGTCAATTATAATACCTGACTTCTGCTGAGCCGCGCAGCTTCCGGAATATTGCGCATTGGGTATTAAACCGATCTATTTATACGTAAATATTCGCATAATTATGGCTGTTTATCCGGATTAGCAGCGACAGTATCAATATGCACATTAAATTCATTAAAATTGCACAATAAACAATCGAGGTTTAATGTTTACCTCGCACTGCATATTCGCGTATTATTGCGTCATAGGATGCATAACACACAAATGAACGCGCCTACTCTACGAATGGGCGTGTTGCGCGTCGATTATATTATTCGTTCAAATTTGATCGCGCGCGCGATCGTCCGCGAATTTCAGGCGTTCGAGCAGTATTGTTCACTTCGCTCGACAAAACAGCGTCGACGCTTTGAACGAAGCATCACCGACTCTCATCGATCCACATAATTCAAAGAGGTTCTCTTCTCTCGTCATTTTAATAATAAAATCGTTCAAAATGACCGAAGAAATTATTTTTTATGACAATTTGGTGAGATAATATGTATGTAAAGATCATAATATGTGGTCGTTTTTTATTTTAAAAGTAAACGAAATAAAAGATGCAAAACACCTGTTTGATGTTGACACCAATCGGGAGGGAAGAAATTTGAATATAAAATGTGCTCCTTGTTGTTATATCTGTTATATGACCAGCTTCATTTAATTTCCATTGGAAATCCATAAATGCTGTATTACAATGAATAATACATGTAGAAATAACATGATGAAGTTATTCCTGAACCGGTGTTAATTTATTATGTACGCGTCGTTGCCATGTTTCCATTCACATATTGTCAATTTCACGAATATTCTTCAAAATCTCTCAAAAGATCTAAATTCTCTTTATCATGCGGTAAACTTATGTTATACTTTATTAAAATATACTTAACTATTTATTTCATTATCATGACAGTTTTTTAAACAATTGTCTTGTGTACGAATATGTTAAATTACGACAAATTTGTTGTGTTACAAAGGTTCTACGCGTTAGAATACGTAACAGCTT